GAACTGAAAAATTATTTAAAAAAAAGTACTAATCCAATAAATGAGCAATGTTAGTTATATTATAGTAGCAGGTTATTATATAATTAAAATTTTATATGTTTCATCTTTTTAGTGCTTTTGATCTTCACAACATTTAAACCATTTGAATGTGTTCAAACGTGAGTGTGTTTGAATTTTGGCCATCAATTAAATCACAGGTCAACATATCACTCTTAAAAGATAGTAAACAGTATTATTTTTATGGTGATCAAGGAACAGGATAGTTTGCATTTGACTTAAGTGATGCTCCGCTAATGTTTTTTTAGCCGAAAAATGTTATCCAAGTCCTGGTTCATTTCAGTGATTCCAGAATGTGTTTGGTGAGAAAAAGTAGTGGAAACTGAAACTTTGCTTGGAAATATCTCAAAGGCCACCTTATATGTGTGGGTCTCACAACTTTCTTTGAGTGGGTGTCATTATGTTCCCTCTTTGAAGTATACTCCATACAGTGTAGTGTCTGCTGTAGAGTTATTTTCCTTCCCGGCCAAAGTACAGGCTGAAGATTTTTGGCCCTTTATGTGCTGAAATAAATTTGTTTTCTGTCAAAGTTTGAAATGCTCTATAAGTAAAGACATTGCAGGGAGGCTTTTGTTAATGAGGAAATGCTTTCTTGTATTTTAAGTAAATTCCAAATCAAAAGAGAATAAGCTGAGTATGTATTTTTTAACCTAAAGACATTCTCTTGTTTATTCCGTTACTCTCTTTCAATAGCTTTGTTTACATGCACGATATTTCAAGATTGGGTTGAAATGCATGCAGAATTAAAATAACAAAAAATGCATATAATGGGATTGTACGATTTATAAGGACACAAGTAAACTGATCTGACTGAATATGTGTGATTTATGCTGACAGGAGGAGTTTACATGCACACTGATTAGATCATTAATCGGAATACACCAACCCTTTCAGACGGATTTCAATTTCATTTCCGATCAGAATATTCAGACATGTTTACATGACGCATATATAATCCGATTGGCCATTTACTCCGATTACTTATGTCCATGTAAACATAGCAGTTGTTTGTACACTTCATTAAGAGGTTCTTGAAGCGCCTTAAGAATTTTCTTGAGTTTTTAGAAAGATAAAAAAGAAGTACGGTAATAAAAAAAAACGTTTCCAGTTTTTGTGGAAGAAAAGGAATTTAAAGATTATGTGTTAAAATTATCTTGCATCTTCTCAAAATTAATCAAGTGTTTAATTTTGATACATGTAAAAAATGAATGGCTGTTTTTCTCTTTTTTTTTGGCAGCCGGAAGTTAAAGCCTTTATGGTCTCTCTGGTGGTCTGACCCGTTGGTAGATTTCATACTCTGTAGAATCACATTTTTGGTCAAGCAAAGCCCTTTAGTACTTTTTACTTTACCTACTCCATGACTTTTTTTTTTTTTCACAAATCTTTACATATTCTTCTTGCATGCATACACCAGTATGTGTGTGTGTGTGTGTGTGTGTGTGTGTGTGTGTGCGTGTGTGTGTGTGTGTGTGTGTGTGTGTGTGTATGAATGCATATGTTCAAGTTTCTGGGACATTCTGTTTGTTTATATTTGTGTGTGTATTCGGCTGGGAGAATGAATCCAAATGAAATATTTTATGGACCAGTGGACCTATTAATTGTCCCGCAGGTGTTATCTTTGCTGACGCCTAATCTTTCAGAGACGACCTGCTGGGCTCGGTTCTTCTGTTTGTATCCTCTCTTCCTTCCATCCTCTCCCTTCATCCCATTTTCCTTTGCACCTCTTCAAGGTGACCTTCCAGACAGCTTCTTCAAACCCACACTTTATTTCAACATCCTCTTTGTAACCAGGAGATGCTTGGATTTTTCGCATCTTTGAGTGTCTTTGCATAGCAGTGCTTTTGCTTTGATTTTTAAGCCTTCATGCACACACTATTTGAAAGGTTACTGTGTGTCAGACTAATAATATGCTTTTTTGAAATTTGAAGGCATCTTCAGATCCATTTCTCAACAAATCAAATATTTGGTAACCAAGCACAATGCCGGAGTTCCCAGAGAGAAAACGGTGCATGCATAGGTACAACATGGAAAGTCTGTAAGGATTCAAATGTAGGACTGCTTTGTTGTAAGGCAGCAATTCTAATAACTGAAACACCTTACAGGTCAAAGGTGAAATAAATGATTTAAAATGGAATAACTGGGGCAGTTTTATCACATAGCAAAGTCATACGACTGGAAAATTACTTGATGGTGCACAGTTTAAAGAGGCATTGCAGAGATTTGTAATGATACTGCCACCTGTGGCCCAAACACAGAACTGCGGCTTTCTTCTGCTTGTTCTCGTAGCTCGCTATTAACTTTTTTCACCTTACCTGAAGTTCCCATTGTTGTCTGAGTTGAGCTGTATGCTGGTTGCTTCTGAGTATCCAGAATATCCATCTTGAGTGTAACGCTTTGATTGTTTGGCAGTTGGACCCATTTACAGCACAGAAATTAAATTCAGGAAAATAGGCTATAGGCTTATAGTTGCTTCCGCCCTGAACTGCTAAGAGTTTGGTCATCAAACTGTATTTTAGTTGTAAAGGTTCTTTTCTTTACGACTTTTCTTTTAAATGTTCTTTTAGATATATTTTTCAGTTAAAAACTTACATGTCTCTTAAAAAAATATAAGTGGGGTCTCCCTTTTTAAGGTTGTTTTTCTTCAAGAACAAATGAATTTTACATTTCCGCTTTGTCAGAGATGACAAAATGGGTCTGATTTGCAGGCACTTTGAGAACATTTTAAAATAGGTTGATTTGATGTTGAGAGGAAGTACTTTGGCCTGAAAATTACAGGTGCTGGTCATAAAATTAGAATATCATGAAAAAGTAGATTGATTTCAGTAATTCCATTTAAAAAGTGAAACTTGTATATTATATGCATACATTACATACAAACTCATATATTTCAGATGTTTATTTTGTTTAATTTTGATGATTACAAATGACAACAAATGAAAATCCCAAATTCATCATATCAGAAAATTAGAATATTACTGAAGACCAATAAAAACAAAGGATTTATAGAAATGTTAGCCAACTGAAAAGTATGAACATGAAAAGTATGAGCATGTACAGCACTCAGTATTTAGTTGGGCCTCCTTTGGCCTGTATTACTGCAGCAATGCGGCGTGGCATGGAGTCGATCAGTCTGTGGCACTGCTCAGGTGTTATGATAGCCCAGGTTGCTCTAATAGTGGCTTTTAGCTCTTCTGAATTGTTGGGTCTGGTGTATTGCATCTTCTTCTTCACAATACCCCATAGATTTTCTATGGGGTTAAGGTCAGGAGAGTTTGCTGGCCAATTAAGAACAGGGATACCATGGTCCTTCAACCAGGTACTGGTAGCTTTGGCACTGTGTGCAGGTGCCAAGTCCTGTTGGAAAATGAAATCTGCATCTCCAAAAAGTTGGTCAGCTGCAGGAAGCATGAAGTGCTCTAAAACTTCCTGGTATGTGGCTGCGTTGACCCTGGACCTCAGAAAACACAATGGACCAACACCAGCAGATGACATGGCACCCCAAACCATCACTGACTGTGGAAACTTTACACTGGACTTCAAGCAACGTGGATGAAGTGCCTCTCTTCTTTTCCTCCAGACTCTGGGACCTTGATTTCCAAAGGAAATGCAAAATTTACTTTCATCAGAGAACATGACTTTGGACCACTCACCAGCAGTCCAGTCCTGTTTCTCTTTAGCCCAGGCAAGACGCTTCTGACGCTGTCTGTGGTTCAAGAGTGGCTTGACACAAGGAATGCGACAGCAGAAACCCATGTCTTTCATACGTCTGTGTGTGGTGGTTCTTGAAGCACTCACTCCAGCTGCAGTCCACTCTTTGTGAATCTCCCCCACATTTTTGAATGGGTTTTGTTTCACAATCCTCTCCAGGGTGCGGTTATCTCTCTTGCTTGTACACTTTTTTCGACCACATCTTTTCCTTCCCTTCGCCTCTCTATTAATGTGCTTGGACACTGAGCTCTGTGAACAGCCAGCCTCTTTAGCGATGACCTTTTGTGTCTTGCCCTCCTTGTGCAAGGTGTCGATGGTCGTCTTTTGGACAACTGTCAAGTCAGCAGTCTTCCCCATGATTGTGTAGCCTATAGAACTAGACTGAAAGACCATTTAAAGGCTTTTGCAGGTGGTTTGAGTTAATTAGCTGATTAGAGTGTGGCACCAGGGGCCATCAATTTTGAACCTTTTCACAATATTCAAATTTTCTGATATGATGAATTTGAGATTTTCATTTATTGTCATTTGTAATCATCAAAATTAAACAAAATAAACATCTGAAATATATGAGTTTGTATGTAATGTATGAATATAATATACAAGTTTCACTTTTTAAATGGAATTACTGAAATCAATCTACTTTTTCATGATATTCTAATTTTATGACCAGCACCTGTATATTGTGGACTGGAACAAAAATATGAAAAAATTAATTACTTTGTTTAGTTTCTATTTCATATCCTCTAATGTTTATATATTTTCTCTGGAAGTCTAAACTGTCAGCAATGCAGAGAGCATAACTGATTCTGATAATGGTTGTATTTATTTTGTATTTATACTTGATGAATAGTATAAAAAAACTCAAAATGTTATCCTGAAAAAAGTAATTTTGTTACTTATTCAAAAAGAATACGAATTTGTTTTATGAATGCATTTTTTAACATGTTTAAAAAAAATATTGAAAATTAAAATTCAAAATGAAAATCTATAGGTTTCTAGTGTATCCATCATCCTATGGTTGCTTTGGAGATGGAAAACTACAGAAAGCTGCATCCTGTTGCACTAAGCCTCTCGAGTGCTGGGAGTGCTTTGGCCGTCTTTAATTTATGTTTTAGACATTTTTATCATCCTGACCAATCCTGATCACAAACTTGTTTTTTTACATATTTTACATATAATAAATGTTTTGCCCATTTTTATTATTTTGAATAATTTTTCTTTCTTCTTCTTTGCAGTAATCTGCATGGAAAGCGGCCTGCAGATTATGCGGTGAGCCAGGAGATGCTGCAGATTTTCCAGGAAGCTGCAGAAGAAACCCAAGATGCTAAGTCACATACAGCTCAAAGCCCATCAGCCACTGTCTCTGCGGTATTTCCAAATTTGGCAACCCTTTAAACGCTGATATTTTTACATTAGATGCCCAGAGACTGTATAACGGTGTCCACATGTCTCCCTTTAGTCGAATGAGAGTATAAGAAGGGATCAGACCTTACTGCTATTGGCCAGCAAGTTGTCGCAACCAGAGCAACATCAGCTGGCCAGCCTGGGAGTCCTACTGGGAGGAAGGATCGCTGATACCTTCTCTAGCTCAGGTAGAGTTCCTTTGTGTAAGCAACTTTTCTCTTCTCCCCAAAGACTTCCAGACAAGAAATCTGTTATTCTATTAAGAAAAATATCCAAGATTTGCAGAAGTAAAGAGAAGATGATGTAAAAGTTAGAGGTGTATCTAGAGTTTTTGTGGCATGTTTTGAATTCCTCGCTCTAATTATTCATCCCAATAGTTTTTTTTCTTTTGGTTTTTCTGAGTTCAGATTTTTGTTTTGGAACAATCACATCAAAAGGAAACAGCTTTCAGAATATTTATTTCTTATTTTTTTCCTTCCTGCCATTAGTAGGCATAGATGATCTATATCAGCCTTAGAAGCAAAGCCATGATACTTCTATTGAAGAGAAGTCTCATTTAAACAAGCATTACTAATATTTAATATTAATGACATTTCTCTTTGGTGTCACGTATTAGCAATCACTGTAGTCTCCATGGATGTTCTGTACCCAATATCGTTCCTTGCTTTATCTTTGAGATTTGCAAAAGATCTTGAACGTCTCTAAATTCAGCATCTTTCATGCCAGTCAGAGGTTAAAAGCCCAGAAGGATAAAAGAAAACCACATATCTCCTACTGGGTCTTGCTCTGGTTGCTTGAATTAACTGCAAATATGACATGCCAAGTGGTGAAACACAGTTTTTCTTTAAGTTCCTTCTTTGGTTCCTGTTTTTCCTTTGATTTCCTCTGATAAGCGTTTTCTGACACCTCAGTGATGCTGAAAATAGCTAACTTTGAGTGGTCTGCACTCTCTAAAAGTGTCACTCGCTAAGATTGTCAGCTCTGCCTTGTTACACTCGCATTTAGCGATTCATTGATTGTAAAATGAAGAGATTTTTCACCTTGAACAGCCAGTTACTGATCAAGGTGAAAGTTGGGCCATAACTAGTTTTCAGTAAAGATCTAAAGGATAAAACTACTGTTGAAAAACACTTTTCCCTACTTGAGATTCTTGGAAGTACACACGAGTTGGTTTAGAAATTGAACTGAATCTGTTATTATGAGTGTGTCTCTGTAGTTCTGTTGTTGAAATTATATCTTCAACCTTGAAGATGACTTTTTTTTTTTCTTACACAGTTTACCCCATGCACTTTACAAAGAGACATAGATCAATTTGTTCTGTAAAATCTGCGAGTCGGTACATGAGCATTATCACTCATGAAGGTTCAACAGTAGCAAACGGGTGCTTTTAGTGGTGTATACATCATTGTGATGCAGCAGCTCCTCCACTGTTGCATAGTAATGGCTGGAAGAACACCAGAGAGCAGAGGTAATTGGAAACGTTCCTCATAAAATGTTTGGAGGTGCTGTCAGAGTGATGAAAACGCACTAATGAAAAGCAGAAGGGCTTCTTGTTTTCTCCCCTCTTCAGGCTGCAGGGGTGAATGTTTGTACTTTTTTACTTTCAGACATTTTATTTCATTTTTAACATTTCAGGGTGAATCCTCCAGTTTCAGTCTCAATGGAAAATGTAAGAGGGTTTTACCCTTGGGATGTAATTATGTTCGTTCTGCTCTTGTCAACCGAGCTCACTCATTGAATGAAGAGGCAATAAGCTTGGATTTAAATTTTAATTAACCTATAATTATGTGCCCCTGCCTTTCATAGCAATAGCGTCTCCATTGTCTTTTGTTTCATTGTCAAAAGCAGGTTGATGGGTTTGCAGAAGGTTTACCTGGTTGCTCTCCCAAGGTGAGGAACTTTGGCAAATTCTCATTGTAGGAAATATTCCTTATATTGTGGCTAAAACCATAAAGTCCGAAAATTGGTGTTAGATCTTACTAAAACTAAAGATCTCTCGATGATCTTGTTGCAAAACCCTAAATATATAATTTTAAAACAGATGGAAAATTAAAACAGTGGAAAATTGATGATAGCTAATGTTATGGTGTTTTGTATTCCTTTGCTATCTTTGCAAAGTTTTTTTCTTTTATGAAAAAAGATACTTTCGAATCGGTTGGATTAAGGGCTGGTTATACTCCCTGCAGCAGTGTGTTGCAGTGAGCTTGACGGAGACATTTTTAATTTATGCTCAGTTTTGAGCGTGGTCTGCGCTATACGCTGTGGGTCTAGATACGGCAGAGGCGGAGAGGAAGTGGGGGCAAGTTTGTCCGTCAACGGAGGGACATGAGGGCCAGAAAGAGCAGGGATCTAGGTTGAAAAAAGGTCCCAGCGTTCTCGCGCACCTCGCTCTTCTAGCTGGTCCAACTTCACGAGCTGTTTTCCGCAATTGCGGTCATAAAAACAAAACAAGCCGGCCTCCTGTCTGCGGCACTGTCTGTGCTAACCTACAATTTGGAAGAGGTGCAGTGTAGTGTCTGCGTAGCGGGTGGGGATGTCTTTTTGTTTCAAAGTATAACTCAGCCTTTACGTGGATTTGATCTGATAACATCCATTAATAATAATAATAATTGAACTTTATTGATCTCACAATGGAGAAATTTACCTCTCCATTTAACCCATCCCCTTGGGGAGCAGTGGGCTGCCATTGTGCGGCGACCAGGGAGCAGTGTGGGGTTAAGGGTCTTGCTCAGAGACCCAGAGTGGCAGTCTTGGGCTCGAACTCAGAACCTCAGGATTCCAAGCTGTATGCCCTAACCCATAGGCTTCCACTCTATTGCCCTTCTATCAAAGAGATAAAGATCTGAACTGTTTTATATACCAATAGCTATTGAATATATTCTTTTGCGAGCTATATTTAAGATGTCTTACCTTAAAGATTTGCTTCCTAATAAAGCAAATTATGGTTAATTTAATTGGTCATTACAGTATTAAAAACATCCAATATTTAGTGCTTATACAATAATACTATATTATCCTAGTAGCCATCCCAGTCCCTTCTAGCAGCATAATGCTATGTTTTACTGTACGGGTGGTGTATTCAAGGAGATTTGCAAAATAAAGTTAAGTTTTGGGTTTAATCTGACCAGAGCAACATCTTCCACATGCGTTCTTTATTCCCTATGTAGCTTGTAATAGAAAGTCTTATGGCTAATTGTCAACAAACACCATTATAAAGACTAGATTTGTGTTAGCTAATATTTGCACTGAACTGCAGATCTCTGCAAACCCACAGGAGACATGACTGCACCTCAATTATGGCCCCCTCCTGACTAATCTGTCAGTTTAGGTTGACAGTCATTCCGTGATTGGTTTGCCGTTGTGGTTTACACTCTAATATTGCTGGATGGCTTCAATAGTGTCCAATTACATAGTCAAAGACTTAATAGTGTTTTATAACTTTAAATCTGGTATTTATGAGCATTTATACTAAGATTAGATTAAACTAATAAAAGGGCTTCATACAACATAGAAATTTCCAGGGTTTTGAATCCGTCTGCCAGGTGCCATGTCTCGGTGTCTGAAACAAATAATAAGCAGTTTAAATGGTGTGAATTCTTGTTTTTGCTCTTTTCTGTTAACATTGATCAAACCGTCTAAACTGTCTCGTCAACCACAGGCAGCAGTTATTTTATCTTTGTAGCACAACTCCCTCATGTGCCTCTTTTCAGTTTGGTTTTTGTGTGTTTGTTTTCTTCCCCCAGTGAGCCATGTCGTTGTGCCAGAAGGACAAATGCCCACCACCTACTCAACCCTCCTGGGTCTTCTTGCCGGCTGCTGGGTTGTCAAATACAGCTGTAAGTATGAAGTGAGCTGCTGACTGGAACAACTCTCTATGGGCACCTTTTTTTGAATTTGATGTTAAAGCTTCTGCTGGAAGCTGACTACCTTTCCACAACAGTTATGCTTAGACTGTGTCATTGCAGTTTTTTTTAACCCCAGGGAGTAGTTACTGTGTCCTTCACACATGAACATAAAGAAATACACAGATTTTCATGCGAACCAGACCATCACATTGATTTAACAGAAAGAGGAATCTCTGATCATTGTTGTTTGCAGAGTTCTGGGTTATCTATGCGCTCCTCTGATCTGTTCACTACACAATTTTTCTCTTTTATGGAGGCCTTGGGACTGGGATGACTATGGAGAGAAGATTATGTCCTTGGTGAAGACATTCTGTGTCATTTTTCTTTTTGTTTATTTTCTTTTTTTAAGAACGATCTTCTTTTTTGATCAAGCGGCAACTAATGATTATTTTGCTAATTGCTTAATCTGTCACTTATTTTTCCAGTTAATTGATTGATTATGGGATACCAAAAAGTTTTTTTACAGAGTTTAACCATGTGAAACTAAAAGCTCTGGATAGAGCATATTGATAAATGAATCAGATTTTCTTATCCTAAATGCAAAATATGAATATTCTTAAAATGTTGGTAATGTTGCTGCTTTAAGTGGGTTTCTCTGTCTGCTAAAGGCGTATTTTAAAATCTCTATACTCCATTTAACTTTTGATCGATTACTAAAGTAGTTGACGATTTTTTTTAATAGTCGATTAATCTGATAAGTTGTTGAACACCTACTCATAAAAATGATAGAAAATTTAAATTGTTCTTATATAAGTATTGAAACCACTCAACATCTTTTAACATTATAGGCCTGTTCAACAGACACAATTTTGCATGAATACCTGAATAAATAGGCAACATGGGTTAAGTGCCTTGCCAAGGGTTGCATCGACATGTCAAAAGAGGGAAGAAAATCTGAACTACAACTTTTTTTTTTGCACGCTGGTGACTTTACATGCTGTACCACTGTAAAGGTTGAGATCATTTCCAAAAATAGTATGAGATTATATTGCAGTAAAAACAATACGTTTTTTGCAGGGTGTTGTAGATGTTTATCAGGCGTATTGATGAAAATAGAGGCAAATAGATGTTTTCTTATTCTTAAATGATCAAATGACTTTTAAAAGTGTGCAGCACTTAGATTATGAAAGTTCAGATCACACAGCGGAGGCTATAAATTCAAAATAGACGTATATTTTTTAACAAACATTTAGAGAAAGTGCACTATATTATATTATTTCCCATGTGAATTACAGATTGTTCATTCTTCTTTGCCTTTTTTAAAAAAGTGTTTTAAATCAGTCCTAACTGTCTTTATCCATGACGTTTGAAAAAGGAGGCAGGGAAAGCAGAATAAAGCTACATGCTGCTAGTCAAGCCTTCTTGCTAAACCAGGTCCTGGAAAAGGACGTTTCTTGCACCATTTCTCGCTCTCTCTCCAATGCGTCTCCAACTCCTTGGACTTGTCCTGTCAATCACCTGCAAAATGTCTGCCCTGTAGTGGGAGGTGGTCAGCAAATACACTTTGCAAATGGACAAAGAGTTTGCGAACTAGGGTGAAAATACGTTATCAATCCGACGAAAAATTCAATGACGCTTTACTAGTCATTAAAGTTTAAATATGTATCTTGCACATCTAAGAAATAATAATATATTTTTTTTCTCCAGCTTTTATTGTCATTACACTGTCACAAGTACAAAGAAACTCTCTGCATTTTACCCATCCCCTTGGGGAGCAGTGGGCTGCCATCATGGGGCGCCCGGGGAGCAGTGTGGGGTTAGGGTATTGCTCAGAGAGCCAGAGTGGCATTCTGTGGGAGTGGGGCACGAACTCAGAACCTCTGGATTACAAGCTCTATGCCCTAACCACTAGGCCTTATCCCCACACTGCTCCCTGGGCGCCACACAAGGGCAGATCACTGCTCCCCAAGTGGATGGATCAAAATGCAGACAGTGAATTATTTATAGATCAGGTGGTTTAGCTCTGTCTTTAGAATTTTTAAGTATATGGGGGAAAAAAATGATTTATTAGGCATTTTTACTTTGGTAGCATGACATAACCAAGAAATGTCTACCCCTATGCAGTTGAATTACTGGAGTAATATACATGTTTTTTTTCTTCTTTTCTTTTTTTTTTTAACCTTTAATTTAAATTCCAGAAATGTTCCAGCGATAAAAATCAATAACTCTGTTCCTTTAAGAGGTTATCCTGCTGCCCTCACTTGACTTTTATCAAATATATGGATGTGTTGTTTTTCTATAGTTAAATTCTATTCCCAGCCCGCTGGGAATTTATGTTTCTGATACTTTAAGATGTTTATTGCCCTCCCCTGTAGGGGTGGTAAAATATCTTATTTAATCAGATATTATTTCAGCTGTTATATACTGTTTATGACACACAGTCCTACTAACTGTGTGTTAGAACAATAAATGAAAGAGTGATTCGAGCACTAATCATGGTCAAACAGTTATTTCTGCACATACATGGAATAAATTCACCACAACTTCTGTTCAAAATATAAGATTTTATTAACAAAATTCATTCAGCTCCAAGTCAAACGTATTTAAGTTTAACACTCTCAACTAAGACTAGTAAAACTCAACTAAACTAAACTAACTACTATGTACAAGGAAGAAGGGGGAAACGGTTGAAAAACATATTACAGTTTAAGATGGATTCTGTGTTTGAAACCAAAGTTTATCTGGAATAATTTGGGATATGATCAAATTAGCTTTTCACTCATTTTAAAGAAATTGGAAAGTTTTCAGACCAATTCACAATGCAAATCCATGAGGTGAACAAACCATTATTTGGCCAAATAATGTTTTATTCAATGATTTGCTTAATCAAGAACCAATAACCTTTAGCTAAATGATTCTTTACCCTCTTTGAAATAGCTAGCAGCGAATAGACATCAGGATTCCACTAAATGACTCTTGGTCATACTTGGTAATGGAAATGTAATGAGCATCTGAGGAACACGTGAACACTAATGTTATATCAGTGTTTAAATCCTTAGTGAATAAAGCTTGTCTAAGCTTTAGCAACAGCTCAACACATATTCCTGTAGCATAGCGTAGCATGCAGTCCATTCTTTAGCATCAATTAGCGTTGTCTTTACTCAGCAGTAAACACACAATATGATTAGCATCATCAAAAGACACATTGCTTATTCTGTCCCTAATCATGCCAGACCTGCAAACCTTTTTCCATGTCCATTTGGAAAGCTTGAGTTTCATCCAGTTTTGCAGCTCTGCAGTCAGGGATTATTTGTCTCAGTCTCACAGCAGGGGTCCCCTCAGTCTCAAACCCAGGGCATGGTCTTCATCCAGTTTGGCTCTGTAAGTTCTGAAACTCAAGAGAAATGTGTTGCAAAAGTTCTGTTTGCAGCAGTTAGGTTCTGAAGAGTTCTGACTCATCCTTGATGGTTCTGGGGATCTGGTTCCCCCTGGGCCTGCATCTCCACTGTGGGCCACAGTGGGCCCCAGCTTTGAGCGCAGGAGCAGAAGCAGGCTGGATCAGACGAGGGAGAAAGAGAGAAGAGGCAAAAGAGTCCTGTGTGCTCTGTGGTTTTCTCTGTCTTCACAGGGAGGGGGGTAGGTTTTCACACCTCTGGTGGCTCCCATGTGACTTGCTGGCTGAAAAAGGGGGGCTGCAGAAGTCCCCCAGCTGTTATTCACCAAAGCTGCGTTTTCTTCTCTGGTCATCCTATCAGGATGAAATATGGACACTGCTTCCCAATGTCCAAAAAGTATGATCATGGCATATGGCACAACATATCCCCCCTTTGATCTGGAAATAAAAGATGCAGTTCTTTGTTTTCAGATCACAAATAGGTCCATAAAGCCATGATATCTGGAGCGGTGATGAGTCAGGTTCCTGTTGGCAGGAAGAAAGTTCATTTAGGGTTAATATCTTCTCAAGTGTTTGTCCCTGGCGGATTCGTTGCAGGTCTGGCAGAAGCTGACCCTATCTCATCATAAAACAGTTCATTTTCTCCAGAGGTTTTGCATCTGGTTGAAGCAGGTCTGGCCGGAAAGTCTGACCCTGATACACAAATATATACATTCCAAACAAAATTTCCTAACACCTTCATGATGCTGTTGTTCAACCTTCATCATTTCTCAAGTTGTGAAACAAAAGAAAGAAAGGATAAAACATGTTAAAGTATGTTAGAAATTATCAGCAACTATCATACTCTTGGATATGATAAGTTTTACCATTAGCTTGGAATTGTAGTACTTTGTGATTGGTCAGAGAAGCCAGTAGCTCTGTAAGAACTGTTTTGCAGATCTGTTCTAAGTTTTCTTTTGTGGTTGTTTCTGTAGCTTGTTGATGCCCCCCTTTACCAGTGTAAACCTTTGGTTTTGCATTGTTATGTGAAGGCTTATGACCATTATCTGGGGGTTCTGGTTTTCGTTCTCTCAAGTCATTAATTCCTTCATCTTGGTGAACCACTGGGGAACTGAATCTGTGTCTGTTTCTGGTCCTGTTCTTTGTTTGAAGGTTAAAGACTCTAAGCCTGCTTTGAAATCTATCTGATTTGAGACGTATTTCCCAAACAAGCTGAGCATATCTGCGAGTTTCCTGCATAGAAAGGTTTTCTATCCTGCAATGCATTGCTACATCATATCGTACACTTTTATGTAGATTTTGGATGAACAATGCTTTAAATGTGTGATCTTCTTCGTCAATATCTGGAGAACTGCAGCCCTCAAAATAAACCTGTCTCAAGCGAAAGTAATATTCTCTGGGTGTTTCATGTTCTCCTTGGAGAACTAAAGATGCCTCAAGCGTTGCTAACGCCGGATCTCTGTAACCAGAATATTCTTCTCTTAAGGTTTGACAAAGAGCTGAATAACTTTCTCTGATTTTTGGAGGAAGAGATTTTATGAAAATATGGACGCTTCCAGCTGTTGTTTTCCAAATCAGCTTCAATTTCTCACGAGAA